TGTTAATTGGTTTCCCTTTTCTTTGTTGAAGAGGGTCTGTGCAATCCTTCTGCCTAGTCCGCCATCTTGCCGGAACTCCCTGATTTTAAGTCTTTTAATATTTCTTTATATTTAGCCATTTCGACAGCTCTAATCTGAACTCCTTTTAATTAGAAAGTGGAGTCTTGGGCCAGACATCATTCTAACCAGTACTGGGTTCATGATGCTTTTAACAAGCATTTTCATTGTTGTTCAAAACCCAAGGACCCACAAGCTTTGGTTCCTTTTCTGCTGCATTTTTAGTCATTTCCCATCTTGCATTTATTTCTGGTACTCTTCCTCATCTCTGCTGTCCCTAAGCACATTCCTGGCTACATTTGCCTCTTTCATTGCATTTTATTCTTATGATTTCAGATTTGATTTATATTATTCAGACTTTAGTTCTCACCTTGGATGTGTTCCCTGTTTGTTTTGTATTTGTTTATTTACTGTACATGCTTTTGAGAGCTCCTTAAGATGGGTAGTATATCATTAATAATCTTGCTTTGGAATTGATCCTCTTACGAGTTTTTCATACTCTAGTGTTTGAATGATAGAACAGTGCTGTCCAGTAGAACTGTATGTGATAATGGAAACGTTCTGTGTTTGTGCTGTTCAGTTTGGTAGCCATAGCCACATGTGAATATTGAACACTTGAAATGTGTCTTATGTGACTGATGAGTTGAATTTTTAATTTTAATTAAAATTTAAATAGCCACATATGAAATAGGAGCTCTGGTAGCATTGTGCCTAAGGCACTTGACTGCTAACCAGAAGGCTGGTGATTCAAACCCATCAGCCACTCCTCGGAAGGAAGATGGGGCAATCTACTTCTGTTGTGATACTGCCTCGGAAACCCAAGGGGGGGTCGCTATGAGTCGGGTTGGACTTGATGGCAAATAACAACAACAACAACAACATATGACTAGTGGCTACCTATTGATCAGTGCAGAGCTATAGCGTTACTGTCCAAAATACAGTTCCCAGATAAACATCATCATCATCATCATCTGGAAGTTGTTAGCAATACAGAACTCAGGCCCATCACCAAAACCAAACCCACTGCAGTTGAGGTGA